CCTAAACCCTAAACACCTGAACCCGAAACCCTAAACAGCAGCCTAAGGCCATGGTAGTCTTGGATGGCGAGTCCTCCTGGTTCCGGCACTGCTGCGACTGCCGGTCGAGGCCAGAGATCAGCAGGCTTTAAGGCGGCTAAGAGTATATGAGCTATAGTCTAAACTCCTTTAAGGGGGGTTATAGAGGGGATTATATAGGGGACTACTATAGGGGATATTAGGGGGGATACTAGGAGTTGAGACTATAGCTCATATAGAGGTTAAGGGCTTAGGCTTACTGTAAGAAGGAAACCCCAGTTTAGGGTTTAGAGTTTAGGCTTACCATATAAGGAAACCCCAGTTTGAGGGTTTAGGGGTACTACATTCCGGAAACTCTAGTATTTACCGTATACCCATACTCATACTCTACCTGGGGGTCTACTGCCAAACCAAAATCAAACAGGAAGCCTGATAAAATACCAGTAAACTCGTACTACTTCCCTCAGTTGTCACAGGGACTCCCAAAAAGCGGGTCCTCTAACTTTCGGACCACAACATGCCTCGGTCCGGTTTCAAAATTGTCTTCTGATACTGGAAGGCCCGAAACCCTAAACCCATTGTGCTTGGGCCAGGCTGTTCCAGAGCTTCCCGTTTCTGGCCACGCAGCCAGGGAGGGCACTCCTACACTTCTACGTCAGAGCCTTAAGGAAGTGTCTGACATGAGCTATAGTCTAAACTCCTGAAAGGGGGGTTGTATAGGGGATTATATATAGGGGAATTATAAGGGTTGTTCAGGGAGATACTAGGAGTTTAGACAGTGGCTCACATGTCCAGGATTTTAGGGGTGTGAGGGTGAGGGCTTTGCAGTTCATGTGGGATTTCGGGGTTGTAAGGGTTCAATGCGCATAGAAAACCCCTAAACCCTGCGCAAAGGTGGGCACGGTGAACATCGCCATGATGCCAGGAGGGTTCATGGACATCGTTTTCGTGGCGGTGGGCGGCTCTCTGGTGGTTTGCTCCATCCTAATGGTAGCTTGGAATTTCTTGAAGACCATGTTCCACGTTCATATATTACCCCTATATTATTCCTATATGTTACCCCTATATTATCCCTATATAGTACCCCTACATTACTTGCATATTACTTAATCCCAATATTCCTAGAACCAGTACCAAATAAGACCACAACCGAACAAGAGCCCAAGGTGCTTCATCATAACTACTGCCTCAAAGTCCCGGAGTGGCCCTTTGGCCACAGGACTTGAATTCGACCATGTATGCAGGGCCTGCACCCGCACAGAAGGTGCGGAATTCAGTCATTGCATGGGTGTAACGTACAGCAGGTTGTGGCATTCAGTATTCCACCCTCCTGATAATTCGCGGCCTTGGGCTGGTCCGATGTCCCGAAGCTGGAACTCTGGGCCGTTTCAGAAGCTGCGGGATGATTGGGCATTTGACATGCTTGTTCGAACAAAAAGGTCATCATAAAGAGGGTCCCTGGTGAGCCACCGCTTGCTCGCTTACGGATTTGCCTTCTAGACGACAACAAGTCCTGCGTTGGAAGTGATCAGTTCATGGAGGAATGCTTGCAGGCATTCATGCAAAACGGAGGTCTGAGGAGCAAGGGTTCAATGTAAGATGACCTTTGCAACGAAGTTAAGGCCCACGTCGTGAAGCGCGCTGAAGCGCAAGTCACCGCAGGCACTCATGGAATGTGCTTCTTGCAGCAGCATCATCCTCAACATAAGTATTTGATTCTTGGAAGGCCGTGGGAGTCCTTGGAGCATTGCAAGGCATCACTTGGTTGAGCTTGCCAGGCACAGACTTTGCCAAGCTTTGTCGCAGGTCGCGGTCGGCGCCCAATGTCTTGGAGTCCTCCCAGGACTGGCTTGGGAAGCAAATGTGACAGGTCTTTGTGTGGGTCTCTCATGAGGTTTCAACATGTGGTAGTTGCAAGTACCAGGCGGAGTTCCGTTGTTCACTTTGCTATGATAATTTCCGGGAATGTAACAAAGAATTGTCCAAGAACGGTGTCTGTCTGATCTTCGGAAGAACTGCAGGACCCTTCGCAGGCAGATCTAAGGACCAGAAGTCCAGGAAGGCTGACACTGGAGCCCGAGGAGCCTTCAGGTCGGGCTCCCCAGTGCCAAGTCTGGGACCTCTCTGAGGCCTTTCTTGCCCACTAAGTCTTAGTAGGGAAAAGTGAATATATATATATATATCATAATAGGTCTTATATAGGGATTCTATTTCCCCTTATTCCCTACTAAGAACCAGTAAGTTTGCCTTTGACTTAGGTGCGGGGGAGTCCCCACCGTCTAGTGCCAGGTGCCTAGACCATGAGCTTCTGGGGAGCAGATGGTGCATGAAGTGCCAGAAGGGTAAAGTCCAGCAGGAACCGAGAAGCCCCTTATCCCTAAACCCTGAAGAGTAGCTTCCATGTTCTTTTGCGTTGTCTTTTCCATTATGTCTTGGTGGGGAGAATCATAGCCCTAAACCTTAAAACCCAAACATTCAAAGCGAAGCTGAAGGGTCTTTGGTGCTACTCTTGGCCCAAGCGCTTGCGCGATGCATCCATCGAGCCGTCGAATGAAGCTCTGCAGCATCACTTGGCTGCGCTGATGTGCCTTCATGGCAGCTTTCTGCGGACTCTTCTGGGGGTCTCCTTGCTGACTGTTGCTGGGTTGCTGTTAAGGAACTTGATTTAAGTGATTATCTTGGGGAAGCCATAATAATTACTATGTACACCCAATATGGTATCTTAGTTTAAGTGCCTTAGCAGCAACCCAGGTTGCTTGGAGTTTGGAGCATAGAATCCCAGAAGGGCTGGGCTTTTCCCTTGGAGCTGCTGGGGCGAATGCTACCGCAGATGCAAAGACTGAGAAGCCTCACAGTTGGGAAGCTTGGACCTTCAACTTTCCCAGCTTCCTTGCGGGACTTACAGCCTGCACCTCAGTTCTGAGTGCAGGTCACTTTCTTTTCAGAGATGCCTGGTAGTAATGATAGTAGTAATGATCGTAGTAAGAATAGTTGTAGTAATAACAGCAAGAAAAGTTGTAATAGTAGAAATAATAGCAATAATAGTAATATTTATGTTGATTTCAGTCTTTGGGAGGTAGGCGTCCTCTTCACCGTCATGGCCTTGGGCTTCCTGACGGACCGCCTGGACCGGGCAGACCGATCCGAGGCTGGGCAGAGGGTCAAACAAGCTTCCTGCATGTGTACTATAACCTAAACTCCTAAAAGGTGGTTATATAGGGGATTATATAGGGGACTACTATAGGGTATATTAAGGGGGATACTAGGAGTTTAGACTTCCGCGCATGTGCCCTGATCATTGCACAACCCGATACCCTATGCCAGGGCCATCAGCCCAATACTCTATTGTCGTATTTTGAAGTATACTGTAGTATATTACAGTTTACTATCGTAAATATCTGGTAATTTCCCAAAATCGGGGGGACCCAATATAGACCCCAATATACTATAGTCCTTATTATGGGGCTCCCCAAAAGGTACCCCTAATTTTGGGAAACTCCCATACAGCATTGTCTAGTGTTTGCTTCTGAGGCCAAGGAAGTCGAGGCGCCGCAGGCACCGCTGCCCCGCGAGTCCTTGGAGTCTCTGCACCTTTTTGGCCCACGTTGCTGGGTTGCTGTTAAGGAACTTCAATTAAGTTACCATAATGGGGGTATATATATATATATGGTAAAAAATAGGATTTCCCCAACATAGTAACTTAATTTAGGTTCCTTAACAGCAACCCAGGTTGCACCTGGCTGGTGGCCATGTTGCCACTCGGGCGACAGATTACATGACATTGGGGCTGTGGAGCTGGGGTACTCACCATGGGGGGTATAATAGGGTATATATGCGGATTATGGTGGGGTTATACAGTATAGGGTATAGTTTGGGATTATATAGGGGTCATAGTAGGGTAGCTGTGTTGCGACTGGCTTGACTGAGGCTTGTGCAAAGCGTGTCATCACTGATTCTGGACTCTTTCAAGGGTCTGATGCAAAGACATATGTCGCTGACATTCTTCTTGACCATGCTGGTGGGCCTTGGAGGCCGGAACAAGACTAGATCCCTGCCCTGCCAGCTCTGTATCCTACCCTTCTTCGCAGGCAACGCGGGTGGACAGAGTGTGGTCCTCACCGCCCAGGGGCCCAGACCAACTTCCTTTCTGGGACAAGATGAGCAATACTAGTAATATTCGTAATCATATTAATCATGGCAGTAGTAGTACTAACTTTCCCGGTCCGGTCAGCATGAGGTCCGACGCCTGGCCCTGGGGAAGCCTGTTCAGGCTGGACTGCTGCACATCCACCAACGTCGCAACGCAGTGTGAGCCATACTCTTAATTCCTGATGGAGGGTCATGCAGGGGTGAAAATATAGCGCCCTACTATAGGGGTTATAAAGGGGATACTAGGAGTTTAGACTCTAGCTCATGCAGCGCAGGTCAAGGAGCAGCTCCACGTGGGTTTGCTCCTGGTGCCTCTTTCGCAGACTCACTGACAGTCGAAGCAACAACCAGTCAGCTCCTTCAGGTGCTAGTCATGGCTCCACTGGCCTTCGTCCGCGCCTACATGCAGCAGACGCCCCTGTCCGAGAGTTTGACAGTAGGCCTCGGGGCTTGGGAAGCTTTTGTCAAACATCTCCACAATTATGGGCCTTGTTTCTCGGAAGTGTCAGTTTGAAGGAGCTGCAGCAGCCGTCATCACCGTTTGCCTGCGTCTAAGCTATTGGTGTGAATTTGTGAGAATGTCCCCGTGTTAAATAATTAGGCACGGTTGCCCTTTGCAGAGGTGCCACCATTGTGGGCACCGCCTTGCCAAAGTTGCTGTGGCGGGGCACTCACACTTCACGTCGATCATGGGACCAGTAGTGTTGAAATGCTTTGCCGTGCGCCTTCCAACTCGAGACCCACTTTCTGTTGGTTAGCTAGGAAAGAAGGAATGGATCCTTCTAGTAGTCCTTATGTGACCCAGTATATAGTAGTTTCAAGTTTCCATTCCTTCACTCCCAGCTAGCCAAAGGTAACAAATCCCTAAACCCTCAACCTTAAACCCTAAACCAGAAACCTAAGGTTCTTCAATGTGGACCCCGCTCACGGCGCTGTGGGCGTGCAGGCTGACTACAGGGTCTGGAGTCTGATATCAAGATGACCTTCCCAACAAAAACTCTAACTACTAGTCAGACTAGTAATACGAATATAGTCGTAGTAATAATAGCAGTGATAACAACAATAATAGGAGTAAAAATAGTAGTAGTATATCCCCTGTATATTGTAGTTTCCATTTCGTGTCCACTCTCTTTTCCAGTTGATTCTGCGGCTTGAAGCGGCCAAGGTCCTCATGGACATTGCGGGCATTGCCATCGTATGTGGTTTGGGCTACCTTTTCCTGGAGCTGCCAGCCAAATTTGCAAAGTAGGCCAGGTCCACTAGGCACTTCAAAGATCCTGTTAAGCCACGCGGTTTAGGGTTTAGGATGGTTTAGGGCCTTGCGGGCGCGTAAGTGGGGGGGGGTCTTGTAGTTCTATCTGCCCAGCGCATCGAAGAACGCACTACAGGTGCAGTCCAAGTTTGCTACCCCTCTTTAATTGGCAGTGAAACTGTATCCAATTCCGTCTTGGTTCAGTAGACTCAGCATAGAGAAAATCAGGAGTTTCTCAACAACGGGTGTTTCGTCCCTAAGCAGGATCCACATAATCCTCTTGTGCTTCTTATATTGTCCTTGGGGTTTCTAAGGCCCCCCCCCATTTTGAGAAACTCCCATTTCTCAAAGTGAGACACACAGCTTCACCAACTTCACCTACGGCGCTCTAAGCCAGCGCGCGGTTGAGGAGCCCTCAGGCGCTGATGCTGCTAAAGGGTCGGAAAAAGGCCGCCGAGTGGCAGGTGAGTAGTAAACAATTGGGAGATTTTTGGTGTGCTTCCCAAAATTAAAGGTACCATCCGTATTGGGGGTCCCTATGATAAGCATTATAGTCTATTGGGGGTGCCCTAATTTGGGGAAACTGCCATTTCTCCCAATTGTTCAGGGTATGGTGTGCCAAATTTCGAACATTTACTGCAGCTTCCCGAAGACCTTGGACACCAACTGCAGCTAAGGCCCGGTTTGTCCCACCTTCCCAGCTGAGACCACAAGGCACAGGGTTTAGGGTTGGTTTATAGGATTTAGGGAGTTAGGGTTTGGGGTACAGGGGTACAGGGATTTAGGGTTTAGGGTTTACAGACACCCATGGCACTGTCACCAGCATTCTTGCCAGATCTCCTGCGATCCACCTCAGCTGCCATCCAACAGCTGCGCAAAGCAGGCGCACGGATCGCTCATGACAAGCAGCTCTTTGTCACATTCTTGTTGTTCTTATTATCGATGGTGTTGTCATTCTTCTTATTATGTTCAGTATTTATTGTGATTACTGTCATTGTATTTTGCTATTCTTGGTGTTATGGTTGTGTTTGTTCTGATTTGGGCCACGAATTGGCAGGCCTTGGGGCCTCATCAGCATGGAGCTTGGATGATGGAGCTGCAAGGCTGCAAATCTACAGCTACCAAAGCCTGTGCGGCTTTTGGCCGAGGCGGACAGCTGCTCCCAGCCGGACGAGGAGCACCATGACACGGCTTTTCGTACTGTAGCGAAAAAGAGTTGTAATACTATCAATGGCAATAACAGTTACAATAGTAATCAAAGTTATCTGCATGACTTTCTCTTCACCTCTCACTGCATTGATCTCTTGGTCATCTTTGTGTAAGCAAATACTATAGTAGTTTCCAGTTTCTCTTCCATTCTCCCTATATGGGTGGTTGTCAAAATTATGCTCCCTTTTTTGGATCCCCATTAATCGCTTCCCCCTAATAATAAACGACGCCCCCCCCCCCCTAATAATAAATAATCCGGGGGTCAGAAATTATTTATTATTAGGGGGGAATATTTATTGAAAGGATTTGGTAGGGGCGCCTTTAAATTCTCTTTAAAATCAATTAAAATCGAATTAAAATCCCGTTAGAATCAATTGAAATTTAAGCAAAAATTCCTTTTAAAATCAATTACAATCGAATTAAAATCACGTTAAAATCAATTGAAATCTAAGTAGAATTCCTTTTAAAATCGAATTACAATCCCGCTAGAATCAATTGAAATTTAATTAGAATTCCTTCTAAAATCGAATTACAATCCCGTTAGAATCAATTGAAATTTAAGTAAAATTCCTTTTAAAATCAATTACAATCGAATTAAAATCACGTTAAAATCAATTGAAATCTAAGTAGAATTCCTTTTCAAATCAAGAGCCGAATTAAAATCACGTTAAAATCAATTGAAATCTAAGTAGAATTCCTTTTAAAATCAATTAAAATCGAATTAACATCACGTTAAAATCAATTGAAATCTAATTAGAATTCCTTTTAAAATCAATGAATTAAAATCGAATTAAAATCCCGTGAGAATCAATTGAAATTTAATTAGAATCCCTTTTAAAATCAATTGAAATCGAATGAAATTCAATTGAGATTTAATTCCATACGGCTAAAATTGTAATAAAGTCATCTAAATTCGCATTCAGTTCTT